AGAGGATATATCGTTCCAAGATGCCTTGAGAGAGGTTACTGCAGAAGAGGCAGCAAGTGGGGCAATCAAGAATATGAAGCCTATCAGAAGTACTCCAGAAGCTGTTTTCGTGCACCACGAGGGAGTCCAAGGAAGCTCGGAAGAGGAACCTGATGAAGAAGTAGATCATCTCTACCCAGCCAAAGAAGGGAAGCAGAGGGAAGGCAAAGAAAAGGCTTCACCTGTACCCAAGTGCTTTGGATGTGGAGGTCGCCACAAGAGGACCGACTGCAGGTTTTGTTCTGCAATCTGTAGAGCATGTGGAAAGCAAGGCCACATAGCAGCTGTGTGTCTGGGCTGTCAGAAGGTACAACCCTGAGAAGAATTGCGCCTGAAAGGTACCAGGGACCCCAGCCAAAACAGGGTGGGTTTCTGTGCTTCACGAAGAAGCATTTATAGGACAGGCACACACAAGCCACTCAAAAAGAAACTGTCACTTAATGTGAAGTTGCAAGGGGTTCCATTGGTCATGGAACTAGACACTGGGTCTGCACTTTCAATTATCTCCATTCACACGTTCAGAAAGATTTGTTCTGGTAGTGGTTTTCAGGCCAAGCTTAGGCCCTCTAATATAGTGCTAACAGACTTTCAAAACTCCAAAGTGTGTGTTAAGGGGGAGGCCACCCTTAATGTACAGTATAAGGATTTTGAAGGTCCATTAGATGTATTGATAGTGGGGGGTGAGCGCACGAATCTCATAGGACCCGATTGGTTTGAGGCCTTGGGAATACAAGTTACAGGGCTCAATAGCATGCAAACAGTAGATTTATAGGAAGTCTGCAAAGAATTTGCAGATGTTTTCGGCCCACAGCTGGGCACATACAAAGGGCCCCCAGTCTCTTTGAAGTTGGACCCCCACTCCTATCAGAGTAAAGGCAGATTACAAATGCACTCTCAATAAGGCATTGCAACAACATGCCTATCCTGTACCTGTAGTCAGCCATATTCTGGCCTCCCTCAAGGGGGGGGGCGTGTTTTTGCAAAGCTTGCCTTAGCACAGGCTTATCAACAAGCTGCCTGTTGATGAAGCTGCTGCTGTAGCACAAACCATTGTAACTCATAGGGGGGCATTCAAAGTCAAGAGACTACAATTTGGAGTAAACGTGGCTCCTGGAATTTTCCAAAGTGTAATGGAAAATACTTTGAGGAGTATACCAGGGGTTTGCCCCTATTTTGATGATGTCTTAATTGCTGGAGACTCCACCCAAAATCTAGCTGAGAGATTGAGGGCTGTCCTGCTGCGGTTCCAGAAAACAGGACTCAAGCTTAAAAAGGACAAATGTAAAATTGGGGTGCCTTCTACAGATTTCCTGGGATTCAAAATTGATGCCAATGGGATTCATCCTGCTGAGTCCAAATTAAAAGCTATCATGCAAGCTCCTAGACCTAAGTCCAAAGCTGAACTGCAAGCTTTTCTAGGACTCTTGAATTTTTATAATTCATTCATTCCTAACAAGGCTAATGTAGCTGAACCTGGACAAACAGGCAGTGTGGCAGTGGTCACAGGCACATGAAGCAAGCTTCAATGAGGTTAAGGCCTTACTAACGTCCAACAATGTGCTTGCACACTTCAATGAAACTCTTCCTGTGTGCATCGCTTGTGATGCTTCTCCTTATGGAGTAGGAGCAGTACTCAGTCACCTCAGACCAGATGGAACTCAGGTTCCTGTTGCATATTACTCCAGAATCTTGTCTTCTGCTGAAATGAATTATGGCCAGATAGACAGGGAGGCCTTAGCTGTTGTTGCTGGAATTAAAAAATTCCATGATTTTTTATATGGCAGACATTTCACGGTCTACACTGATCATAAGCCTTTGTTGGGGTTGTTTACCACTAACAAACAGACCCCTCACATCATCTCCCCCAGGATGCTCAGATGATCAATATTCCTGTCAGCCTATGACTTTTCTCTAATTCACAAACCTGGCAAAGAAATGGGCCATGCTGATGGCCTCAGTAGATTACCCTTACAAGTAGTAGAGGCTGATCCGGCCCCAGCAATCAACATCCTTTCAATTCAGGCACTGCCTGAATCACCTCTAAACGCCAGGGATGTGGCTGCTCACACTCTCTCGTGTCTTATCCTGGGTTTTGTCTGGATGGCCAGAGAGTTGTCCAGGCACTGAGTTTCAGAGTTTCTGGCTGAAAAGGAACGAGATATCCACCTTCCAGGGTTGTCTGCTGTGGGGCAGCAGAGTTGTCATTCCTACCTCAATGAGGTCTAGGGTCTTAGGTTCCCTTCACGAGGGTCATCCTGGCATTGTACGAATGAAGGCGCTTGTGCGCAGCCATTTGTGGTGGCTTGGGTTAGACAAGGAAATTGAGGCTAAGGTGCACGCTTGCCACCTTTGTCAGCGCTCACGCCCAGAAATGCCTCAGGCTCCTGTGCATAGATGGGAAGAAACACAGTCTCCATGGTCTAGGGTATACATCGATTACACTGGGCTCTTTCAGGGTCAATTCTTCTTGGTCCTGGTTGATAGCTATTCAAAATGGCTTGAGGTTGTACCTGTCTCTTCCACCACCACTGCAAAGACTATCCAAGTACTGAGGGGGATTTTTGCTGCACATGGGCTTCCGGATGTTTTGGTGTCTGACAATGGCCCTCAATTCACTTCTTCCGAATTCCAAGCTTTCTTACAGGCTAACATGATTCGTCACGCCACCTCTGCACCCTTCCGGGATGGCTCAATGGATGGTCCGCATCACCAAGGATGCTTTAAAGAAACTGACCTATGGGGACTGGCATCACAGATTGGCTGACTTCCTCCTTGCTTACCGCACTACACCTTCCACTTCTACGGGGAGAAGCCCAGCTGAACTTCACTGGGGGCGCAAACTGACTACTAAACTTGACCAGTTGCACCCGGACAGATTGCCTCCTAGGGGTACACAACCCAGGGCACCGAGGCAATTACAAGTGGGTGCCCCAGTATGGACCCGTAACTACGGGCCAGGTCACTTGTGGGTTCCTGCTCTAGTTTGTAAGGTTACAGGTCCTTTGTCCTACGAGGTCTCCTTGGATGACGGTCGTATCCTGCGACAGCTTATCGACCAGCTGCATACAAGACTGGACTTACCTTCTGAGACTCCTGGTTCCTTTCTAGGGGGGAGGGGGACCCCTATGGGCAAAGGGAGGGGTGTTGGAAGCAACCAGGCCCCAACAGAGAGGCCACAGACGGCCTATCACAAGATTCCGCGAGTGTTCCGAACAGGAATTCAGGGGAACCAGCTAGCACACAGGCTACAGTGCATACTCCAGCCAGGGAGTCACCCCGGGGGCATAATCATTACACACTTACACCTTTCAGCACTCCAGTCAGGGAGAATAACTGGGAGCATCCTAATAACTCAAACATTGCAAGAGAGCTGGCACACAATCAACGCAATTGGCCCAACTTCGCCACCGTCCCCAGAAAAGGACACTTCCACAGGGGAAGTGATAGGGCCAAATCCAGATCCTGAACCCTCTGGTTCAACGGAGGGGGCAACTGAGTTTTGGGACAGTACTGAAATTACAGACAGTCCTACTATGGAACTGGGGAGTGGAGGAAGGCAGCCTCATGCTAGGTCCAGTGTGGGCTCGAGAGGCTCTTCAGAGTTGCCCAAAAGTGGCAGCCTTCTAGAGGGGCCAGAACGCCTGCAACTAGGCAGGTCAACCAGGTTAGAGAGAGAGCAAAGTCCTGGTCTGATGAGCCTGGTGGGCAAGCAAGCAGGCCAGGCAGTGGGGCATGGTCCATGGGGGCCAACAGGGTCTGAAAAAGGGGGTGAACCTATAGCCTCCTCTGGACAAGGTGTATCTGGGAATTATCAGGGCCTACGGAGATCACAGAGAGAAAAGAGGTCTCCCAAATATCTTGAAGATTTTATAACTCTGCTGGCAAAGCAGAAACAGTAAGAGGGTGTTTCTATGGAAGCCGGAAAAGGGGACACTGGGAATTAATCCCCAGAACAATAGCATGGTACCATTGAGCAAGGGTGGGCACGTGTTGAGATCGCATGTAATTATTCATGTAGTCTTAGCCGGGGGGGGGGGAAGGGGTGTTGTGTCCTGAGCCTGCAAAGGCAGGCTTGGGACGTTGCAATGGTCCCGGGCAGTTGCAAGCTGCCCGGGACCAGACTGGCTGGCGCCAGCGCTTGCGCGCATGTGTGAGGCGCGCAGCGGGCCTAAATGTTGCTTTTTGGCCCGGGGATCGTCTTTAAGAGAGGCTGAGAGGTTTGTTCTGCTCAGAGTTGTAACGGGGGCTACTGAAGACCAATAAAGAGTTCCTGAAACCACAGAATGTCTTGCGCCGTCATTGCCATTAACCGAGGACTCAACAATTATTATTAACCTTATCTTTCTAGTGTATAGAAAGTTCTTACAATTCAGTTATGGCATTACATACTTCTGCTTATCAATATACTGTATACATGCACATATTTACTTTTGTATGAATGGTATGTTATTGCAGTTTATTACAATAGCAGAACCATCCCAGGAAAATAGATATTTTACTGCTACCTTTGGATGAAAACAAAGAGCAAGGTGATTGCTGGGATTCACCAGGCATATGAACTTATGATTCATAGTGGCATGGGGCCTTCCAACTCAGCAAGGGTGTGAAATCACCTGTTTTAACCTTGTTAGCACACTCTATCTCACAATAACAGGATTTGAAATCATGTCAATTCAAACAATAAGGGAATACTCCTGGGCTTGCACTCTTTTTCTCTCACACATACAGACACAAATATACTTTTTAATGTTCAGAGAACATTAAACTCCACTCAATAGTTCAAATTCATCAGGCTTCAAAAAGCCAATAATGTGCCCCATGCTTTTCACTCTCTATACAAAAAAATACTGTTTACTATGGCAAAAATACAGTGAGTTTAGTTTCTGTTTAAGAAGTTGTTTGTGTTTTTATCCTTTTGTCTTGATGTTTTGGGTGGCTTGTTTATCCTCCCAAATGTATAGGTCCAACAAAGGTCGTGACATTAAAACAATCAAGTCCCTTCGTGTTCTACGCGTCTTGAGACCTTTGAAGACCATCAAGCGGTTACCCAAACTCAAGGTATTTGCATGTGAAATTCAGGCAGTGACAACTATTTTTTAAAAGTAACTTTTAAAGAGTATCAAATATGAAGAATGAATGGCAATCTTTGCAATGGAGAGTTGCCCTCTATGGAGAGGGTAGGGTCTACTGGCCAGAACTGCATAGTGAAGTAGATAGCAGTAGAATTTAGCCTTATATACTGCCTCATTATGCTTTACAGTAGGCATGTCAAACTCGCGACATCACGTGACATCACGCAATGTATCGGGCTGGTTTTGCCATTGCTGGCAATGGGGTGGGCACGGCTTCCACGTGACGCATCCGGCCCACGGGCCGGCAATTTGACACCCCTGCTTTACAGCATTCTTTGGCAGTTTACAATGTCAGCCTATTGCCCCCAACAATTTGGGTCCTCATTTTACTGACCTCAGAAAGATGGAAGGCTGAGCTAACCTTGAATCCCATCAGGATTGAACTCCAGACTATGGACAGAGTTAGCCTGCAATACTGCATTCTAACCATTGTGCCACCAGGATTTCTTATCTTAAGTGGGTAAAGAAGCTAGCTTTCTCTCTAGTGCTTCACTGCACAATCAATCCTGCAAGCTATTGTTTGGATGGCTTTTGAAAACTACTGTAGTTTAATGTTCCAAACTTGCATTCAAATGCAGACAGATGAAGTTGCATGAATCAGCTCTTCTATTTCCCTGGGTAACCCTAAATCTCAGTCCTTCTCTGCAGCATCTGTGTGTACCCCTCCACTCAGGACCTGTAACTCAAGCTATAACCCACCAAATAGTTGGGTCTGTTTCAGTGACATATAATGTGGAAGGTAAGGGAAGCTTATTTCCCTACAACCCCTTCTCATCATCTAGCCAAGCTCAGAACATTGATAATGTTACCTAGTCAGCTAATGAAATGCCTTCAAGCAAGCAACCAAGCTTAAAGAGAACCAAAGATTCCATGAAGGCTGGTTCCCCACCCCTATCCCCAGATTTATGAGTGGCATAATGCACTTTCTTTATGCACCTACTAGCAACTCATAGGCACTTAGAAGATGGGGGTTTTATAACCCAGCAGGATGTCTGCTGCACCTAAGTATATATTCCTGTAAAACTACAATTGTTGAGATTGCCTTGGAAGAGAAAACAGCCATCAGGATCCTGCAAAACTACAAGTCCTAGGAATTCCTTGGAAGAAGAAACAGCTTGGTGTAAAGCAGTGGTTCTCAACCTGTGGATCGGGACCCCATTTGGGGTCGAACAACCATTTCACGGGGGTCGCCAAACAAGGCTGTCTGCCATTTTTTCCTCCTTTTCTATGGCCACGCCCCTGGCACCTGGTGATGTATAAGTGGTTGGGGGTCACCACAACATGGGGAACTGTATTATGGGGTCACGGCATTAGAAAGGTTGAGAACCACTGGTGTAAAGCTTTTTATTTCTAGAAGAGATGCACTGGACAAATCCACTTTGATGAGTGGAAGAGTCTTCCTGCCCTTTGCATACTTAGGAAAGGATACTGATTATGTTAACATAGGACTTTGCCCTGAAAAGTATTATTTATTGCAGACTCCTTCCTCCTGTTAAAGAAGAGGTGGAAAACTCTCTAGGTCCAGGATGACATTTCTGTCTTTGTGCAATCCGGTCCTTGCCTGTTTTTACCTTTCATGCAGACCTGCACAGTGATTTTTGAAGGACTGATCCAGAGCGCAAGAATAGATCTGCATATCCACAAGAATAGGCTTGCATATCCCTATAGTTGTTGCAGCTGATGTGCATTAAATAGTACCTGGGAAATAATCATGATTACACAAGATGCTATATACTGTAGCAGGCATATCAAACTGCCGGCTCGTGGACCGGATGTGTCACGCTGAAACCGCACCCACTCCATTGCCAGTAATGGGCAAAAAGTCATGATATGTCTGTCATGACATCGCGAGTTTGACATGCCTGCTATATAGCATGACAGACCCAATTATCCTCATTTGTTTGGTACGTCTCATATTTAATAAACAAATGAATAGATGCCTTCTATACAGTAAAGATTTGACAAATGCCTTAACTAATTATAGCTTTGAGGCTTTTTATGTCATCTTTGATAAGAGTATTTTTACTTAGTTAAGATGAATCACACTTTATGGTTTATCATTCTTCCTCAGGCAGTCTTTGACTGTGTTGTAACTTCTCTGAAAAATGTCTTCAACATACTCATTGTCTACAAGCTCTTTATGTTCATCTTTGCTGTTATCGCAGTCCAGCTTTTCAAGGGCAAATTCTTCTACTGTACAGACAGTTCAAAGGATACAGAGAAAGACTGTATGTAAGTACAGCATGCAGCAATTATTCATGAATTTGGGTATGGCATTATCTCATGGCCTTTCACAGTTAATATACTTTAGAAACTTAGAGGTGCTTGTAAATTCATGTTAGTTTTTTAATCATTTTCTTCTATTTTTCAACTTCTATGCTTTCACGTGTTTGGGGAACTTTCTGATTATGTAGAAACCAGTATTATATTTTTAGGTGATATTGTACTTCCAAACTGATAGATGCTTAATTATACACTGAATTATATAGAAAATTATATGGTAAAACTCTAGAAAGAAACATGACCTTAAATCCCTATTTTTAATTACTGTAAGAAACTTCTTAATGTTTTTGACCCCTTGGTTTCTATTTGTATTTAATCTGTTTCTGATGAACTTTAGAAAAAGAAAAAAGTAAGTTCAGGGGGCATAAAGATACAACAGTAGCTAGATTAATATCTGCTATTTCTTACTCTAAATTCTGCATTGCTACTCCTATCCAGTCAAGTTAATTTCTAGTATCAGAGCCAGACTGATGAAAAAGTGATATCAGAAGGAAAGATATGGAAAGATAAAATCAAAGGAGACTGGATTCACATGATCAATGTTTCTCTTCTATCCTGGGAATTGTATTTTGTGTCCCTGAACCAACGTTTTAAGCCTTTTTCCTGCCCTCTTTATTGCAAAAGTATAAGAAAAGCCTTTTATTCTCTGACACTCTTATGCTGTAGTGGAAACTATATAGACCATGAGAAAAACATGATGGAAGTAAAATGTCGACAATGGAAGCGCCATGAATTCCACTATGATAATATCATTTGGGCTTTGCTTACACTCTTCACTGTTTCCACTGGAGAAGGATGGCCTCAGTGAGTATTTTCCTTGTTCTCTTATAACTGGACTTTTCTAGCTTTTTCAAGACACAGAACCTGTTAATGAAAAAAAACCAATCAAAATCTCCTGATCACAAAATGGTAGTCATATCACTTTTTTTTCCACAAAAGAACAAGCTCCACCCTTTCCACTGAACTTTTGAAAAATTATTATAGACATCCCTGGTGTATTTCATCCACCACCCCTTTGGCTTTAGTCTCTTATGGAACCCCATCAGATTTCACAAAACACATATTGAAAAACTGCTGTACTAAGATATTAGAAATGGACTGTTGTAGTTCATCCTTAAATTATGAGAATAATCAGAACAATATTTAGTGTACTTCCTTTTTAATAATAATAAGTATATTTTTTTCCAAGGCAAATGAATGTATTTTTATTATGATACAAAGGCAGATTTCTGAGTTGTGTTGCCTTTTTTACAAAGGAAAAATTCCCCTCTTGTTCAAAGAATACATCACATAGAAAAAAAAGGACTTCTTGAGACATTTGCTGTAGGAAACAGTTCTTCTAAAGCAAATTTAAAGCCAATGTATACTTTCAAAATAATCATAGATTACTATTCTTGAACTCTTCTATGGGAGGGAAGTAACAAGGGAGTTTACAGCTGATTTTCATTAAATTGGCTTATCAAAAACTAAAGTGCCTTCAGTCAATTTACTTGTTATTTTTTGTGTATTTCACTTACGTTTGATAAATATATTATATCAAAAGAGTTTGTACACTCAATAAAACTAACTTGATCAAAATACTAAGGACTCGTTAGCATATGATTTTCACTCGTGTTTTCTCTTTCTCACTGTGTCCCCAGAGTTCTACAACATTCAGTAGATGTCACTGAGGAAGATCGTGGCCCCAGCCGTAGCAACCGCATGGAAATGTCTATTTTTTATGTGGTTTACTTTGTAGTTTTCCCTTTCTTTTTTGTTAACATCTTTGTGGCTCTCATCATCATCACTTTCCAGGAGCAAGGAGACAAAATGATGGAAGAGTGTAGCCTTGAGAAAAATGAGGTAATAAGAACTAACTAGAGTTTAATTTAATCATGTGTATGACTGGGTCTGCTTAGGGATCGATTTAACTCTGGGTGTTAGCTGAGTGAGTTATTTTTCTCCCCTCGTATTAACCTCTCCATTGACCCATTTAAGCAGATTGCAGAACATTTTATGAGAATCTTGACACCTGGAATCCTAAAAATCAATAGGCTTTTATTGTCCTGGATTTAAAGAAAAAATGTTGAATGAGGAGTTGAAAGTGGAATGAAAGTTACCTTATTTTCCACATTAAATGAAACAAATGCAGTTTTTCAACAATAACTATAAATTATTCCTTATCTTGTGTTTCTTGTTTGTTCAGATTATAACCTATGAAAAGATGGATGTTGTTTTACTTTTTTGCACTGCATAGTTGCACATTATTGGCAATAATTGTAATAATATGACTGACATATTTTTGATGTCTTTTTTCTCCTTCCAGAGAGCCTGCATTGACTTTGCTATTAGTGCAAAACCCCTCACCCGCTACATGCCTCAAAACCGACACACTTTTCAGTACCGAGTTTGGCACTTTGTAGTATCTCCGTCATTTGAATACACCATTATGGCTATGATAGCTCTTAACACTGTGGTTCTAATGATGAAGGTAAGATGAACAGATATAATATTTGAGTCAATCTGACAGTTCCAACTCCAACTCAAGTCAATATAATTTTTTTTTTAAAAAAATACAATTATCACAAGGTTGCTAGCTAGCTGTAAACAGCATTTGAGAATCATGAATGGAGTAAGCTGCCTTTGAATGAATACTGCCAGTGTTGCCTAAAATGATTGAAGCATTTCTTTATGATCTCAGGGAAGAGGGGGTGTCCTTCTCAAGTCAAGTGCTTTCAACTAAAAATTATAGGAAGAGAATCTTTCTGAATGCAACTTTAAGAAATGATGTCTCAGTTTGCTTCCTTTTCTGTTTGGTTTTTTGTAAGCCTAACAGCAGAGATTTTTATTGATTTTTAACTTGAATTGTTCTGTGAGATTTTTCAGGTGAAGTGTAGGATGAAAATGCTTTAAATATATACAAGCATAAAGTAAATGCTCTGTCAGTAAGTGATGTCTCTTCATTTCTTGGGAACTGTAATGTTAAAAATGGATCTAAAAGGGATTAAAATTGCACATTTCACACTTAATTAGTGGGAGATCAGGAAGGGTAGACTTGCTCTGGATCCCTTCATATAAGGATTATTCTCTTCAGAGGCCATGGAGTTGACCCCCTCGACTTCCTGAAATCAGATGACCTACAAATTGAACTCCAGAAAGCCACTAAAACTTTTTTCTTTAAAGAGAGTCTTGGCAGTAGAGCAGATATGAGTAGCAAATTCTCATTTTATCAGTAATGCTTAGAGCTTTGAGTCCTCATAATTTCATATTTTTACTTACTATTTTATGATAATACCTTCTTATTAAAAGAGGCAAATATAAACCATTCCTGTCCTCCCCGCTGAATTTTTCTTTTTTTCCATTATGGGAAGTTAACCATTTAAATCAGGCATGTCAAACTCGTGACATCACGTGATGTCACGCGACGTATCGGAGCTTTTTTGCCATTGCCAGCAATGGGGTGGGCGCGGCTGTGGTATGATGAAACCGGCCTGCGGGCCAGCAGTTTGACACCCCTGGTTTAAATGAAAGTTTTCAGTACCAATGAACCTCCCCCCCTCTCTCTCTCTCTCTCTCTCTCTCTCTCTCTCTCTCTCTCTCTCTCTCTCTCTCTAAGATACTTGGAACTATTTGTTTTTAGTGGTAACTGTATCTATTCACTATTTAGGATGTGCAAATCTTAAAGATATAGGCAGGCCTCCAGGATTCTTACATTAGCCTAACTGGCTCTTCTTTCTTTTCTCTTTTTGTTAGTACTATTCTGCTCCATATACTTATGAATTGGCTCTGAAGTATCTGAATATTGCTTTTACCATGGTTTTCTCATTGGAATGTGTTCTGAAAATCATAGCTTTTGGTTTCTTGGTGAGTTAAATGCATTCAGCATTAGATATTAAAACTCTGTTTACAGGCACTCTAGTTTGCATGCACTAAGAATGCTTAGGGATCACTCCTTGCCTGTAGGAATTGCTATCTACACATGCCAAGTTAAAGTTAAAGATGTCCAGAGCTGGCCATTTTCTTGATGGACACAGAGCCTCTATGGTTATAAACCTCTCAAATACCTCTTAATAATACTTAATTAAATAATAACAGGCTGCTTTTTCACGAAACTCCAGTTGAGACAAAATTATTTACTTCACTTAACAAATTGCTCATTTGAGCATGATTTATTGTTATTATCTGACCATCCAGTCCAACATTTGTTTGTCCTTCCCATGTCTTTCCCTCCTGCAGATTCCCACTATCATTCAATATTTTTCAATGCTTCCTCAATACCCAAGGGCCGTAGTGGCACAGTGGTTAGAATGCAGCATTGCCCACTGCCAGGAATTCAATCCTGACTGACTCAAGGTTGACTTAGCCTTCCACCCTTCCAAATTCAGTAAAATGAGGACCCAGATATCCTTCCTCCAAAATGTGCACTTTCCCAATAGTTTGGAAGTAGAATGCAACATGAATGGATACTATGTGTCTTCCTGAATTCCTCAATGTCTGATTATAAATTCTGGAATACATTTCTTGAATTTATTGGAATACCAGTATTCCTTTGGCTCCTGAAATTCTTCTGAAAAGCATAGCCTTAAAAGAAAATGAAGCTGATGCGTAATGGATGTGAGGACATATAGAAAGGGTGATTCAATTTAAACTTGAATTATCCTTTCTAGCAGATTTATATACCAGTGGTCCCCAATCTTTTGGGCACCAGGGACCGGTTCCTTGGAGAGAGGCTTTTCCACGGACCAGAGGGGGTGTGGTTTCAAGTGCTGCCTGCATCCCATGGATGGGACTTTGCTTGTTTGCGTGGCCCGATTTCTGGCATCCGGCAGCCCGGTGCTGATCCATGAACCGGGAGTTGGGGATCCCTGCTATATACAATTTTTATTCATTGGAATATTTGTTATTTGAATTGGAAACTCTGACACCAGATAAATATCCTAAATTTATCAAAAATTAGATTTGCTGGCTTGACCAAAAATCCTACACCTAGCCCAATCCTTAGGATTCAGGTGAGTGTGATTTCTTTCTTTTTTTTTTATTGTACTAGAGCAGAAGGTGATAAAGAAAATCAGTCAGGCATTTCAAGACATAACAAGCAACCTTTAACTCTGAACTGGCTCACAAAAGCCATCCATGCACGATGTTGTAAGGTATAGTACAATCTAATGCAGTGAAGTTAAAACAAATGCATTACAGTAGATTGATGTGGACCTCATAAGAAAGCACAGGAAACTGTACCCATTTCAATAGGCTAATCAGTGATGGAAAAGTGTGAGACAGAATTTTACTTGGTTTGCAGGCAGAGAGAAATAGGGTCTTTTAAAAATACATTTGGGGGCATATGCTAACATTTACTGACTTACCAGCTTGAAAATGGCAGGAGGCTTTACCTCCAACTTTTCATCATTACTGTTAGCATTTGATCTAGGACATTAAAAGAAGGAGCTAGGGAGTCCTAAGGCCTCAGACTAGATAAGCAAAGATAGGCTACCCTTATTCTTTGTGTATCTGAATATAGCCTGAATGATGGCAGCTTTTCAAGGGATGTTATTACATCTACACTTACATTATACAGTAGGTTAATCTGCACATTCCTCTTTCTTCTCTTCTTTCTGAAGAATTATTTCCGCGATACCTGGAACATATTTGATTTCATCACCGTGATTGGCAGTATTACAGAAATTATCCTGACGGATAGTAAGGTGAATATCTTTCTCCATTACCCTCCTTTAGAGGAAGATCAGGACTGAAAACTGCATATGATGTTTCTTTTTTACTTTTTCATTTTACTGTTTCCTCCTCTCTGGCATTGTGTTAAGCCGACAGTTACCAGCAGCTTCAACATGAGCTTTCTGAAGTTGTTCCGGGCTGCCCGTCTCATCAAACTGCTTCGCCAAGGGTATACCATTCGAATTCTGCTCTGGACCTTTGTGCAGTCATTCAAGGTAAAAGCTGAACTCCTGTCTTCCTTCCAAGGTCAGTGGATTGCTTAGGACAATGAATAACATCAACCATTGCATACACAATTGCAGGGCACATCCAAGCAGATATATTAGCTGATTATGGATGCCTTAGGTCAAACCATCAATCATCCACAAAAACACAGCTACTGAGAAAGAGTAATCCACATAAACTGACAGAGAAAGAGCTAGTAAGCTTTCATCCTCTTTATCCAAATAAATGACCAACTCTTCAAGTTTTACAGATGTCAAATTTTGGGGAGATCTACTTTAAGAAAGATTGGATACTCTAACTATCTGACAAACACATGGCAGTACAGTAGACTGAAAACCTTACTAGTCCAGCATCCTTTATACCACAAGCAAGACATAGCAACAAGGCCCAAACATTTTCAGGAAGTTGTATGTAGTCTATTCAGGGAGAGAGGTACTCTGTTTTAAAAGACGACTAATTGTCCCCACTTCTCAGATATCTCCAATTGCTATGGCTGTGCAATGCTTCTGATTCAGAAGAGGTGCTTCAGAATGTGCAACAGCTGTGTGATTCTGGAAACAGGCATGGCTACTTTGATGAGTCACAGACAGGTGCTGCTCAGTTCACACTCCCACATATTCCAAACGCCTCTTCCAAATTGAATTTAAAGCCCTATTAATTGCCTGTTTTATATTGTAAACCCAGTGGGATACAGCTTTCACTTAGGATCAAATCCCCCTCTGTCAATTCATTTGCTTCCATGTGGCTATAACAGTCTGGAGTCTTTACCACTTCATTATTAAAAATAGTATTCATTGTTCCATGGTTTCGTCAGCCTCTCCCCTCACAGCAAACAATACATCCTTGCCATACTTTTTTCTTCCTCCTGTGCAACAAAATATGCTACAAAAATTTAGATTAGATTTTTGAAAAAAATATAAAGTATTCATTTATGATTAGTTTTTAGTTTTTTTATTAGCATATAATACTGTCATAACCTGTTGCTCTCCAAATATGCAGTATTCACCCATTAAATAAAGCAAGTCTCCCTGAGACACATACAAGGAGGACTCTTGGCAGTAATTTGAAAATTTCTTTCAACATCTTTTTTTTTTCCATTTTTCCAGTCTAGCTTACAACTTGTGGGATTTCTCGGTGGTTTCCCATCTAAGTAATCTTTTTTAGTTTTGGAGAAATTACAAGATTGGCTAAGTGCTTCTACCTGTTGAGGATATCTTTTTCCATACTGACTGATAGTTGTATGGGGGTAATATCTAGATTGGGTTAAAGTCAACCAAACAATTGTAAAAGCTGGCATGGTTTAAAAGGCCATGCACTTAGAACAAGGAATTTAGACCCCAAAATTTTAAAAAACCCCATATATTATAATATATTGGCCAAGAAGATTACATACAATGTATTCCTTACTAGGCTAGTTAAAAGTTCTGTCTACAATATTGTAACCAAAGAAAAGATCGTGGCTCACTATAACCAAAAATGTGCTGTGAGGAACGATTGATGACAGTCTTCCAGTCTTCAGGGAGAAGTAAACAATGTTCTGAATCACCATTAGTGGGGAAACAAACATGTGCTGATCAAGTAAACAATCTGAACCCTCATTAGTGGTAGAACAAGAAAGTGTTGTGAGTTACTTGGTCTTTCTTTGCAGATTGTTTTGCTTCTTTGTTGGTTATCTAACTTGTCTCTTCCTTTCTCAATCCTGTTGTTGTTATACTCCTCTGTCTCCCATATGTATGGTTGCTTCCTTCTTCATATCTCCAATTAATTTTGTTCCTGCCTGTATTTGGATGTTTCGCAGAGTCAAATCAAATTTATTATGCACAATATGTAAACATGCAGAAGTGGCTGAGGGCCTCACTGGAGTCTGAGGCTTGCAAAATTTACTTGGCCATATTCATGGAGCAGGGTTTGCTTATGTTTGCTTAAGAGTTGACAATGACTTGATGGCACATAATCAGTCAAGGCCTATTTGAGGTTAGAACTAAAGTTATTATATCTCCTATTTTAAAATGAAAGGACTCCATTACTGTCAGATTACAGATTACAGATTACAGTAATCATGAAAACTGTCAGTCAGTCTGGAAGTGGTATAGGAGATTCAAGGTAAAGTATATTATTGTTTATTAGCTCTTATATCTTTATTGTGCACTTCCTCACATATAGCAGAAAGATATACTTAGTGCCTTAATTTCCTCCGTATTTTGCTCCCACGTGTCATTTGCATGTTTGTTAAAGGAGCTGTAATTAAGTCACCTGTTACTCTGCTCTGTATTGGTGCCAATCTTTTTGTTATCATGTTTCTTAAACTTAGCATCACTTTGATTCACAAATCATTTGGCTCAAGGCCTTCCATCCTTTTGGCTCAAGGCCTTCCATCCTTTTGAGGTCAGTAAAATAAGGACCCAGATTGTTGGGGACAATATGCTGACTCTGTAAACAGCTTATACTGTAGAAGACTGCAAAGCACTGTGAAGCGGTATATAAGTCTAAGTGCTATTGCTATTTAGTTAGTGTAAACAAAGATTCTTATCTTCTCTGCCACCACTTATTTATTACTATTTTAAGTACACTGATGTTACTGTTTTAAGCATATAAATACTATGTCTGTAATAACACAGTACTTTGTATGATTTGCTTCTTCCAGGCTCTCCCATATGTCTGCCTTCTCATTGCAATGCTCTTCTTCATTTATGCAATCATTGGGATGCAGGTAAGCAAAAAACTGAAAAGGTCTAGGATAGTTGGTTCAAAGAAATAACAAAAACTTGAGTCTTCCTCTTATATTAAGCTTAAGCCCCCATTTTCAGGCAGGAGGTCCATAAACTAATCCGTAATCAAGAATATCTCAAGTACTCAGGTTGGAAAAGGCTGAAATAGGTTATTTGTAATCTAACAACAATTGACATCTGAAGAAAAAAATAATGTGATATCTTATATTCAGGAATATGGATTGTTACATTCCTGATGCATAACATGAATTCTTTCTAAAGAATCCATACTGTGAAGAAAGAATTGCATGAATTATGAACCTTTTTTTTTGTGCACAGTTCTAAATTGTCAAGTGAAAAGATTATGAACTAATTCAGTTTCCCTAAGAAGCAATGCCCTCTTATGTTCAATATATATGTGTTTTCTGAGGTTTTCACGGGTTTTTATATGTAGGTCTTTGGTTATTCGGGTTTTCTCCCACGTAAAATTGGAAGTGTCTTGGTGATGTTTCGACGAAGTCCCATTTGTCATCTTCAGGCTGGTGTGTTCAGCTTCGTGCTTTGAGGAGCAATGTGTGGTCTTAGCTGTTTCTTCCTTTTAACTGCCAGTGGAGGTATGAACTGATTGGGTGGGAGCTTGGCTGTTTTCTGATTGGGTGGAGGTACACTCTCACCAATGTACTAACATCCAATGGATTCCAAAGAAATAAGTTTACAAACCTAATCCAAAAAGAAACCCCCACTAAAATCCAAGACAGAGAACAAGAAAATGGCAAAGTCCTCCTCCCATACATAAAAGGCACCACAGACAGAATCAGCAAGATCCTCCATAAACATAACATCAAAACAGCATTCTGCACAAACAGAAAAATATCCACCATCCTAAGAAACCCCAAAGATAAAATCGAGTTAGAAAATCAAGGAGTATATGAAATCCCATGCACCGCTTGTCCCAACACATACATCGGACAAACCAACAAAAGAATAAATGCACGCATTGAAGAACATAAAAACTCTGTCAAAAAAGAGGAACCAACATCTTCCCTGGTCCAACACCTTAAAGCCACAGGACATGAAATTGACTTTAAAAATATCAGAACTATTGCCCAAACTGAACATTTTAATAACAGAATAATCAGAGAAGCCATCATGATAGAAAAACGCCCATACAGCATGAACAAATGAGATGATACCTCCCGCCTACCAGCCATTTGGAAACCCGCCCTTATTGACAAACGACTCCCTAACACAAAGAATGACACCAGACCCATACTCACTAAAACCACACAGGATGTCACCACCACATGTCCATGCAAAAAGCAAACCCAAAGTCACACCGATGATGAGGCACGACCACAAACCAGAAGCCAGACCACAGCTGCATCATTAGCCACTTTAAACCCCTGCAATCCTTACATGAAGCAAACTGACACCCACCATGAAGATGAGGCACGACCATGAACGCGAAGCCAAAAAATAGCAAGGCAGCCCACCATCTTAAATCCCCCTGCAACTCAGACTAACCTGAGCACAACAAAGCTCTCACCCAAACAGAACACTCCCCCAGCCAATCAGAGCACAGCCAAACCCCCATCCAATCAGAGCACAGCCAAACCCCCATCCAATCAGAACACAGCCAAACCCCTAACCAATCAGAACACACCTCCACCCAATCAGAACACAGCCAAGCTCCCACCCAATCAGTTCATACCTCCACTGGCAGTTAAAAGGAAGAAACACCTAAGACCACACATTGCTCCTCGAAGCACGAAGCTGAAAACACCAGCCTGAAGATAACGAATGGGACTTCGTCGTAACGTCGCCAAGACACTTCCAATTTTACGCGGGAGGAAACCCGAATAACCAAAGAACACAACACTATAAGATTTTTATTTTTATTCTTTATTTTTGGTATATAGAACAAATACACCATCTGCTATTTGCTCTTATATCTTATGTGCAACTACAGGAAAATTGATATATGACATAGGGGTTAAAATATTGGCTTAAGAACAAGGATATTCAATTTCTATTTCAACCTGAGATGTGGCAGTTTATTGGATAAATTTAAATCAATCATGCTGTCTTTCAATCCAATTTATCCAACACAATTATTACTGTGATTAAATATTGCAATGGTGTGTGGGAATGACTTTGGGAGATGGGAAAGAGGCACAGCCATGAGAATGATCAGATAAGTGGCAACCGAGCCCACAGAACAAATGTGGGCATGGCAAACACCTTAGAAGGGACCATATCTAATTTTTTGTGTTGTAAAGGCAATGGGGAGAAATGTACTTTCAGTCTTGAAGATTCTGTTAATATAACCTTACAGTACCAATAAAGAAGAATATATGTAGCTCAGGGTTGAAATGAGGGGTCCTTGGTGCTCTCTAAGCTTGCTTGTTTTCTTGCAGACATTTCATTACCCAAACTAGGTAACATCAGTGCAAGTCTTACCTTACAATAGAACATAATTAGTTCATCTGGGTGTGGGGTTCCTGTCTGGAAATATAGAAATGAGTGTTCTATATGTTGATTTGAGCTGCTGATTAAAAGGTGAGATGTAAGTCAAATTAATAAATGCAATGTAACAGGTAGTCTAATGCTGATTACTAAACAATGTCTGTATGGTGACTAAATACTGAATCCCTTAAATTTGTTGGGGTTCAATACAAATGCTATACAATGTGGTTATCGAAGGAGAAAGTGACATATTATAACCAGTTAGTATTCTTAACTCTCTTCAAGATTTTGAAAAAAAAAATGTTTTATCCCAACAGCATTTTTCACCTTGTTCAGGTATCATCAACAAACTTTGGAAATATGAAAGAATGGTCAGGGCACTGTACATTTTCTAACATCCTCACTTTGCTGTGATTGCTGCATTTTTGCTTTATGAAGTCAGCAATAGCAATTTAATTTCTATGTTTTCAGGTGTTTGGGAACATCAAGCTAGATGAGGAAAGTCACATTAACCGTCACAACAATTTCCGCAGCTTCCTTGGTTCTCTCATGTTACTGTTTAGGTAAATTTACATTTATATCCACATAGGGATCCATTCACACTTTGATATAAAGCAAAGCACTGTCTCTCCTAAGATTTCAAAAGCTTCTGGTAATGAGCCAATACTTAGCTTCCTAGTTTTACAAAGCTTGTTACAAACCAAGGACTCAACGTTTCCCTTTTTACAGACTATTTAGTAGGCTTTAGCTTAAGACTGAATTGTTTTCAGCTCAGTGGGCCACAACTTTTATTTTCTGTGTCTCCTTTTTCTTAATCTTTGTAAAGAACCTCCATGTTCTGAAGTCAGATAAAACTCCCTAATAGGCAGCTTAATTCCAAAGAGATTCATGAACAAAACTATTATCTTTGCTCTAGTTTAATTATCAGGCAGATTATACAACCGCTCCTCTCTCTTCCTTCAGGGCATCTACAGTGTCACCATAATCTTTAAACTTGATAAACCCTTTCATTGCCAAAATGGAATTTCAGCTTTCCTATTGGAATCCTAGCTTCTAGGATGCCGAAGTCATAAATAGATCTGACTGGACTGAATCATAAATTATATAAAAGTCCTCCTCGATGTTATAACTGAATTTCAATAAAATATAGCACTTCATACCAGGTTGTATGTTCAGTATGATTAGCAAGAAGTGATATCACCTTTGGAAACCATGATGGGAATTAACTCCAGACAGCCTCTAGATATCATGGATGATTTCTTAAAAATTTAAATGTATCTTAGTTTCTTAAATTTAAACTAAATTCTTAAGATCTGAAATGTATCTTTTGAAATTATCTTAAATTAGTGTATTATGTACACTAATTACTGCTTTATGAGGCTGCTGCCACTACCAGCCTGTTTGGCATGGCAGACCACTTCTGGATTATTGCCAAGAAATCTACATGGATCCAGATGCTCACCAGGAGACAAACTCAACTTGAGGGAAAATTATCCTTCGTGTGATGTTTGCAGTAGATGTTGCAGAAGAGCAAGACTTTACCTCAATTTATATATAACTAAAACCTCCTTAAATCACCCTGAAGTCTATTTTTAAAAGATTATTGCTTAAACAGAGGCTTTCTGGAAGTAAGAAGGATTTGTTGAACATAGTAGTAAGCCACAAGGTGGATTTGTTTTCTTACAGAAGCGCTACAGGGGAGGCATGGCAGGAGATTATGCTTTCATGCCTAGAAGGGAAAGGTTGTGAGCCAGACACTACAGCAACATCTGGACAAAATGAGAATGAGAAGTGTGGCACAGAACTAGCATATGTCTACTTTGTCTCCTTCATCTTCTTTTGCTCCTTCTTGGTGAGTTCCTCTTTCCATTATTCTACAGATTTACTGTTTTGTATTGTTTTCATCAGATTGATTTAAAGGATGATATGATATGATATTCTTTAGTACTATATTTCTCAAAGAGCTATAAACACAGTTAAAGAATTTCATTATCATGTGCAGAATTACATTGGAGCTTTCTTTTGTGCTTCCTCATTTGCTGGTCTTCTGCTTAAAGATCTGTTCTAACCCATTCCCCTTATTATGCATTCTTCTTGTTTCCTTCATACTTAGATGCTCAATCTCTTTGTGGCTGTCATTATGGACAATTTTGAATACCTGACTCGAGATTCTTCCATCTTGGGACCCCATCACCTTGATGAATTTGTCCGGATTTGGGCAGAATATGATAGAGCTGCATGGTATGTAGGCATATATGTTTTTTTTAATGTTCTTTACAAAATCTATTTAGATGTGATATCCAAATCAAGTACAAATAGAATGGAAATGCCCTTCTCCATCCTGTGGTTTCTAGATATTCTTATACAAAGGCCATCTGCCCATAAACAACCTAATAGTCTTACTTAAATTAACAATTCAGCCAGTTTCAGCTTTTTAATTAAAAGGAAGTATATATCCTTTATGGTTTTTTTTTAATTCTATCATCACAGCTTTGCAAAGCTCTTTTAAATATGAGCAGCTGTGCACTGTACATGACAATGAAATATTCTGTAGATTGCAGTTTTCCTGCAGCAAATGATTTTTTCCTATATTGATCATATGGACATACTTATGTATGTCCAATCCCCCACCTATTTTTGTTAATTTTGTACTATAGTTTGGTGTCTGCAACCTAAAAGTTTTAAGAAAAAAAATCTTCATAGATAATTTATGTCAGGAGTGAATTGACCACCATGTATTAAAAACCTTCACTCATACTATCCACACATTTCAGAATGCTTTGGGGACATTGTTTTCCATTATATCTTCCCTGGGACATTTTGATATATTTGCCTAATTCCAGAATTCCTAAGTGATAGTTCTTAACATGAAGTGGAACTGCCACTGGTGATAATACCTTAGGTTATCTTTTATGTATCTCAAATTTGAAAATTTAAAAGTATATTTTTTGTTATCTTTCTTCAGCTTGAATTAGAATTACCTGTCTGCCTAATTGTCTATTGATATTTGTGTCAATGTTCATGACTTTAAGAAAGATATAAGTCTTTTCTGGAGATATTGGAATCCTAGAATTTCATCAGATGGATATTATCAGTTTTACCCTAACATCTGAAAACTAAATGTATTGTTTTCTGTGAATTCACTCTTCTAAATTAATGAAACCTCTTCCTTCTAAAAGATTTACACAATAAATATGTTGGTCTTTAAAAAGGGTGCATAATTAATATGGTTACTCTTCTGAACTTGTTTCCCCTGTTAAAAGCAGACATTACTTTGATAGCCCTGGCTTAATAACTCATCTATAGGAAAGAAATTCATGTTATTTTCTTGAAAGGACAAGAAATGTCAGCGTCACCTTTTGTAGCTAAAAGCCATAGTGGCTGACAGTTCTGGGTGCAGTCTCATAGAAATGAAGAAAGCCAGTTTGTGGAAGAATTATTTGGGATTTAAATAAGAAGACAATAGATTTTCCAGTTATCTTATTTTCCCATTTTCCCCTTCCCATAGTTATTTTTATAACTAGCTCATTAAATTTGTCTTATATTAAGACTGTAGTTTTTCAAAACTCATCAGACCTTGATGATTTTTAAATTTAGGATTATAATTAGGATAATATTATAATTAGGATTATAGTATAATATAGGATTCTTCTTTTGTACTTTATTACTGCTTTAACAATAATACCTACAATTCTATTTAGAATACTGCCTACAGTATAATTATCATTCTAAAGTAAACTGATCATTATAACTGTAAGAGTTTCACCTCCTGCCCTTCCATTGCTAGACTGTGGTGACCATAATGGAAAGGAATCAAAAAGAAATTATCTCTGACTGATACAACTAAGTCTTAGTTTTCAGAGACTAAAAAACCCCTCCTGGGATATCAAAAGGAAGTACTGTAGTCTAATCATCTCCTGACATGCTATTGATATAGCTATGGAGCACCTTTTTATCCTATGTGAAATTGAACTCACAGTATAGATTGATCACCACTGGGGAAAAAGGGGCAAAGTGGGAAGACAGGATTTGATGGGGGGAAAAAAAATCTGGCTTGAAACTTTGTATAAAATAAGTCACCATTTATCCACTTGATGTGAATAGTTGATTGTGCAAAACCATTTGTTCTGCTTTTTTAAAAAAATGGATAAATCTTGGTAGAATGACTGAGTTTTATCATTCCATTATAAATCAGGCCATATGCACCTTCTTGGTGATGAAGAATTCCTCCATGGGAACATTGTAGAGTAGAGAGAATAATAGCTATATCTTCAAAGGAAGATATAGCTATTATGCAGAGCTTTCCCTTAGCCCCCTCCTCACCCCCAAAAGTAGAGCTACGTAGAAAAAGAGCAATGCACATCTTTGGTGTTAACCAGTTGTACACAGTTCTTCTTTCCCATTTCCTGATTGGGGCCTATTAACTCACCTGTGCTTCCTTTCCAGTGGCAGGATCCTGTATAAGGATATGTACAAATTAGTACGGGTGATCTCGCCTCCTCTGGGCCTGGGAGAGAAGTGCCCCTGCAGGGTGGCTTGCAAGGTTTGCCTCACAATCCCCAGCCACAACCTGGCAATAGGGACATCCCATTAAATCCCGCTCTCCTCCTCTCTTTTGTACTTCACGCTATTGTACTTCACAAGAGAATCCTGACTTGCTTTCCCTCGAGTTTAAAGAGAGTCAAACCTTCTCAGAATCAGCAGCTGTTATAACTGGAAAAGATGAAGAGATGCATTTCAGGACCCAGCTGAAATTACACATTCATTCTCATCTTGAATGAATAACTCTGGAGGTTTTTAGAGTGTCATAGAGTAGCATAGAGAAGATTTGGAACCATTGCTTTCTGCTTCCCCTTTCAAGACCTACATTTTTCATTTGAAATGGGCATTGTATTTGGTTTTTCACTAACTTGGGAGCAAAAGAAGGGAACAAAGAATTTAATTTTAATTTTAAAAACTCAAATCAGACATGGTAGAAAATGAATAAAGCTCCCCAGCTGTGCCCAGAGACTTGAGGTTAAAGATATTACATTGTTGGGTATGGAAGATCCATTCATTCTGAATAACATTCTGTATGTACTTCAGAAATAGTGCAACTAGATTCAGGTTGCATCTCCTGATGATATGGTCCAGCTGGCTAATCTCAAACATCTTAACTTAGTCCAATGAAAAACTTATGTCAGAAAAAGACACTTGACATGGTGGGCAGGGGTTCATCTGGCTATTTGGGTTGAACTTAATAAAGCCCCTCAGTTAATGAAAAATTAGCATGTTAAGGAAAAAGCTAGAGCAGCCAACAAACTTTTTAATTTTAGAAGTGAGGAATATTTTTGTATGTTTAAATCAAATGTAGTAAATTCAAATATATGTATATATGAATATATATCTAAAAGATATGGGTTTTGGAATCACAATTTCCTGTGATTCATTTTTACTGTGCATTCAGCATCAGAACTATGCTAAAATTTCACCAGCATTTAGAATTTTTCTTATTTTCTTATTTTTGTTTGTTTGTTTTCTTATTATTGTTTTTCTGTAATTGAGAAGATCCAACCAAACATGTCATTGCTACTTCTTTCACCACCATCACAATTATTATTATTATTATTATTATTATTATTATTATTATTATTATTATTATTAACTAGAATGCAACCATTCAATAAAGACGTGTCAGCAATATTGACATTTTGGCACAACCATCATTCTCCTGGCCAGTTCTTCATATCTGCAAATCTATTGCCAAGTTTTGTTTTAACCTGGTTTTGCTTTCCCCAAATCAATTATGAAGATGAATCTCATTTGCGTACTTAATAAAGCAGAAACATATTTTTTAATACTTCAATCATTTCATTTTACTTTCAAGAGAATTTGCTGCCAACCTCCCATCCATGTATGGATTTCCAGTTTTTCTATGAATGTTCTAAATGTTCTAAATATTTGCCTAAATGTCTTCCTAAATTATTTACATTTACTCCGCCAAATGTGTGTGTGTATAAATATATATAAAATGTGTGTGCAAAAAAAGAAAATGAAGGAAAGATATAAAAATAGAAAAAAAACCTTTCCCCTTCATCCCCATCAAGTGTAACTGATGTTAACAAATTATTACTATATTTTATAATACAACCAAAAACCTCTTCATTCCATACTTTACCCCATTCTCTATACTTCTATCTCTCCAGCCTCATTGCACCATATTTATCAGCAAGGGTTATCAGAAATAACATAATTATTACGAACTATATCTGTTACACCAAATCTGAATTCTTTTTTTCCATTTGAACAGATCCGCCCTGTTTCCTCTCTTCAAATAATCAGTCCTATTACAATTAAACTTTCTCAGAAATAATAATCATCATCTAGTCCCAATCAAAAAACCACTAAATAACATCTGAAATAGCAACCCATTATTTTAACCTAGAGCAGATAAACCAATTTCGTACTCTGTCCTGTTTCTCCCAAAAGTCTTTAAATTCCTTACAGAAAATTCTAACATTGCTTTTTCATACTCGCTTTGTTTCTTCTCTCAAAATTCTTGTCAGGCCCCCTTTGTAATTCCACTGTGGCAACTCCAGCATTTCCCTTTTGTAAATCCAGTGTAAAAATAATCCACATTACTCTTCTGATTTATTGTTTGTACACAGTTTTTTAATTTTTAAATCATTCAATTTCATTTGTAAATCTATTATTTTCATGTCTTTCTTGTAGGCTGTAATTTTTAAATCCACCTATAAGTCAATTTCAGTTTTGATGCAGTCCATATGGTTAGAGACAATTTTTTTAAAGCTTTTTTCTTTCTTCTCTGCAAACCATACCCATTTTCACACTTTTTAAGTTTTGTTCCACTAACATATATACTTTGATTCACTAACATTTATACTCTGATCTTCTCTTTCTTAAAGATGTTACTACAAGATCTCTTGGCTATGATTTGTTTCATGCTTCTCTGGAAAATTATATGCAGTTCTTATTTTAAAATGTTTCACTACAAAAACTACCAAACCTAAAATGAAGGAAAAAAGAAATCAAATTTTAAAAATAAGTCAAATTTAGTTGTGAAGAGAGATATTTTGGAGGCATTTTAAGGGCATTTTTTCTGAAATAAAAAGCAACTCAATTAGACATTCCTCATGTAGGATATTTTCAAACAATATATTTAAATGCATTTTAATAGCTGCATACAAGCCATTTTGACTACCATTTAGCAGAAGAGAAACCTAGAAATGTTAAGGTTGAAGAAAGTAATAGGAAACGGACAATTCTGAGTTGAATGGAAAACACAAAATTATTACACATTTTATTAAAAAAATAGGAGCAATTAAATACATAACTTGGAGCTTTAACAATGATGCCTCTGTGTTAGTGAATCTTAAAAGTAATACAAGAGTTGAACAAATAATAAACAAAGATCATCATATTTTTCACCTAAAAAAAGGACTGAAAAAACACTCTTTTTAGGTGAAAAATATGATGACCTTTGTTTAATACTGCTTAATAGCCAATGTAGGTCATCCAAATTTATTTACATTGGATCAGTCACCCAAACCCATGCAAGCCTTGTCTTTTCTTACATCACACTTCGTATATTGTGTTTCCCTTCTTGAAAAGAATAAAGGAAACCTTTATTTTTTTTCCACAATACTCTACCAAGCTTAGAATAAGGATTTACAGTGAAGCTTCCAAGGCAAGAGACTAGATTTTAATCTGACCTCCTTTTATACTGAGTAGAGGGCTGAATACAGAACCAGCAACTCACAAAACAGGGAATACCAACCAACAGAACTGAAGCCTTAAGGCATAACAGCTGCCTCTGTCAAGACTCTTTAAACTCCAACTGGGTGAAACTTGAATTCGCATGTGGGAGGAAATGGGAGGAGGGCTGGAGAGCATGGCATGTCGAATTTTCTTCCTGCATTTTCTTTTCTTACACACTTGGCATGCCTTTGCACCGGTGCATGGTGGGAACGTGCTCCATCCTAGCACTAGATGGAAGCAAAGAGACACATTCCTTTGAGAAATGGCCACAGTGGACTTCCCTCCTATGCAAGATGTTGCTTTCTTCTTGCATGGACATAGCCAGAGAGGGAGGACATGCCACTTCGCTGAGGTATGCACCACCATATTCCAAACAACACCTTGTTGTGTATCTTGATTTATAACACTTAAACACAGCCCTGGAAATTATATGGGGCATGTACTACACTTGAAAGAACTGGCCGTAAAAACATCCACAGAGATATGGAAAGGCAGGCAGTTCGTATTGGTGGCATTCCTGGGTCTGTGTTAGGGGTGCTGTAAATCACATCAGCACAAGCTGTCATGTATGATTTACATTGATTAATGGGTTTCCTGTTCTTTTCCTGTTTGTCTTTTTGTTTGTTTGTTTTTGTTCTCTCTCTTCTGTTTCCTATATTCTGATTTATTTGGGTCTTTTACCTCTGGGAATGCCTTTATCTTTTGTTTTTCTGCATCTTGCTTCCCCCCCTCCCCATTTCCTTTATCCTCTCTCCTTGCACATGAGCAGTGGCCGCATCCATTACACTGAGATGTATGAAATGCTGACTCTCATGTCCCCACCACTAGGCCTCGGGAAGAGATGTCCCTCCAAAGTTGCTTATAAGGTAGAACAACCCTTCTTTCCTTTATGGGCTTCTGATTAGCAAGAAATGGGAAAGAAATAATGGTAAGGGGGTGGTGGGAGATAAAGGAAGTGTTTGATGAATTCCATTATTTCTTTGATTTCATATTTTATATATTTCATATATCTTAATATTTACTGATGATATGTTTCAAATCCTTATGACTCTGTTTGCAATAGCATTATAAAAGAGAAAGGCCCATTGATCAATGCAAGCAATTTCGAAAGTTAGTTTTTGTGCAGGCACACAACATTGTGAGGGTAGATCCAAGAGAAACAAGATTGGTAGCTGTAATGTAAGGTAACGAATACTCAATAATTTAGTTTTGCACGGAGTATTATGATTGATAGGACATCTGTTCACTTATTCTGTTGACTGCGAAAGGTAAGGGGTGCAGAATAAGATTCAAAAGGTTTTTGTTTAGCATTAGAGCAAATGTGCTTTATGCATACAGATGTGATTTCCATCCAGCTATTTCAGTAGAAACATCCCAGGACTGAATACGAATCCTCTCTGAACCCACGGAATATCTTTCTCATTTGGATTAGAAATTTTTCGCAAGCTGGGCTAAAGTTCAAATATAAGGTAGTTTATACCAATATGATTAGCTGTTTTAGAACAAGTGCTCATGACATTAAAGTCATTTACACACTTAAGGCTATAAATATATCTGGGAACATGCCCCGTGTTTCATTTCTGAGTATACAGAGTCCCTCCAAAAATTTCCATCAGCAGTACTTAGGAGTTTGTTTGAAATGGAAAATCGTTAGCTACATGAAAACATTCATATTAATAACATCTAATATCTTTTAATGAAATTATCTTGGGCTGCCTGCTTGTAGGAATGCAATCCCCCTCATGCTACTTAAAGGCCAAGTGCGGCTCTCAGTTCAAACATGATACCATACTTCTGATATCTGAGATTGAACTGTAATCTGTATAAAAGTCTGAACTAAACAAAGACTTTGGAGTAGGACAACTACATCAGAAGAAAATGAGAAACTACTCTAAAAAGGGGAAACTTCTTCCCACTGATTCATGGAAATATAAAATGGAGCATGACATGCTCATTAAATTAAAATCTTTTCAGCAGAGCTTTTGACTTAAAAAAAAATTCTACAAAAGTTGCTTTGACAGCCTGGAAGGCAAGAAGTGATACCCCTGAAGCTGAGCTGGAGAAGGTGATAAGCTGTTTTGTAACTAGTGTGATAATACTGCATCCAATAGGTCTAGCAACTTCAAAGTAATTTGCAGGACAGGTTCTTGCTATGTGTATTATTATAGGAAGAAAGAGATTAGATGGGAAAATGGGTCCAGTCTATTCTGGGAAAAGTAGCAGCCTGAAAATATTGGGGCATAGGTCCTTCTGCCTGAGGATTCTATGCTAATACCTCATTACTCATATAATATTGAGAGGCTGGGTTAATTCATTTCCAACTCAGAGATAGATAGATGTAATGGAAGCTGCACTGAAGCTAGGATACTCTCTCTCTCTCTCTCTCTCTCTCTCTCTCTCTCTCTCTCTCTCTCCCCCCCCCCCTCTCTCTCTCTCTCACACACACACACACACTTATTTATTTATTTATTTTTGTTTGGAGATGCTGTGGCTACATTTCTGTTTGGATATAACTGTTCCTCATGTCTCTTGAGTTTCAGAACTTATAGTAGAAATGTTAGTCTGAGGTCTAGTTAACTGGAGAGAGTTTCATTGGTTTTGTCCTTGTCTTCAGGAGTTGGTATGCAAAATGCCAGATTACGGTATTGGTGTTTGGCTGGTTTGGTTTATCTCCACCTTTTGTATAAAATGCAAAAAGGACTTGAGGATGTGGCAGTGATGTTCACTTCTTCTCATGATTTCAAGTCAGCAGAAAGGAAAGCAGCCACGGTTCACTTCCAAAGGGCTCCTAAGCATTTGAGGAGTGAAAATGGGGGTGATGTGGAAGTGATAGTTCGATTTCAGTGGTATTTGCATCATGAAAGCAGAACAACTGTATGGGAGGAGGAGGTTAAAAAAGTAAAGATGACTGTGATTGAAACCGTGTCCCTTTTTGATACAAGGTAGTCCTCAACTTATGTCTATTCATTCTGTGACTATATGAAATTACAATGGCACTGAGCAAAGGGACTTATGATCTGCACTCACAGTTATGGCTACTGCAATGCCTCCACAGTCACAACATTTGGGCACCTTTACAATCAATTGTAGGGATGCTGCAGCTGCCCCCACTCATCCCCCCCATGGGAAGAGGAGGAGGAGACCTATGGTATACGACCTAGTAGGGTGGGAAACTGTGCAATGGGTGGGGAAGGCCAAATTTGATCTGGGGAAGTACTGCAGTGTGGGCCTGTCTCAGACTTCCCAAAGCCTTCCCTACCTCCTGAGGCATTTTGTGCTCTGCTTAATGACCCACACATTTGTTTAACGACTGCAATGGCAAAAGCCGTGATTGTGGTCATTAGGTGAGAGGATCACATGGGTGCCTCAGTTAACAACTGTCATGACTTACAACCATAATTCCAGACTCAATCGTGGTTGTAAGCTGAATGCTACCTGTATATAAAAAGGGGGGTTTGGTTATGCAATTGCACTTAGCATCTTTACTTTTTTGACCCCGTCTCCTAATACTTCTGCATGAAAGTTCTGGTTCAAATGCTTAAATATTAGGATTGCAAACCCTGGTTCTCTAAATAGTTATATGGAATTGTCAGTTTTCTGTATTATCCAAGATTTTAGCTGAGGGCAACTTACGTTCAGCTTTGTGCATGGCACAATGGTGCCATTTAGTTTCAAAAGCATAAGGCCCTTTTTTTTAGATTCTATACACATGGAAATAAAAATATTCCCTGAGTCTTAATCTCACAAATCTCATTTTCTGATAGATACCAAAGTCTCAAGAAAGAGGGTGGTTGGTGTGATGGGAAGAATAGCATAAGAATTGACAAAGCAATATATACACTTGGGAAGTGGATTTGGCCATTTTGTTTTCCCTTTCAAGGTTAAAAGGAGCATGTCCCATTCACTCACTCCTGACTCATCAATTTCTCTTTATTTTCACTTTCTCTCCTCCCTCTTCAACTTCAGATAAAATGGAACCATTGCATGGGCAATCATTTGCTGCCAACAAGACCTCTTTTGAAGGAAACTCAAAAAGGGGGCGCCAGGATATAGCTAAGAGTTCTGAGTTTATTAAGTAAAAAAAAAAAGGTTCTTAAATGGGAGATGCAGAGGTAAACTACAGTGGCTTTTCCTTTTAATGGAATCAGGGAGTTTGATTCTTTTCCCACAGTCACAGATGTGATTGTGAAGGAACCTGATTGGTCATCTTGTTCGTCTTGCTCTAAGTCAGTAAAAGAACACATATCCTTGGCATGGTGAATAAAAATGGGCAAAAGACCATGCCGAAGGGAATGGGATAGGTTGGAGGGGATGGGGGCGATCCTTGCCCTCCTTTTTGGCTGTTCTAGTTTATGCATTTTAAGCATTTTCCTTTGTCTCCATGATACAGTTTTCCAAACTGTTTTCTGCCTGATTCCCCTCTCTCCACCTCTTTTATGCAGAGACTGGTCCTGATGAACATGCCGGTGGCTGAAGACAACACGGTGCATTTCACTTCCACCTTGATGGCATTAATTAGAACAGCTCTTGATATTAAGATCGCAAAAGGTAGGGGTCCAGGGATAAATGGAAAAGTAAAGTAAGGAAACTGAAATAGTCAAGAGTTAAAATTTTATTTTGAGAGGAAAAAAATGGACAACTTCCCAAGATCAATTAATTTGTAATCTACATAGACCTTATGACTCAAAATAATCTGATTCTCTAAGAATAATTTCATGTCTACTTTTTTTTTTCCAGTCATGGAAAAAAAATGCTGCTAAACCAACTCTGCTAGTGTAGTGCATGAATTAGGAAACAGGAAATGAAATAGGAAATTTCAGAAATTTACTAATTTTGTAATGGGAATCTATTGTCTGACGTCATCAAAATTTTCAGAGGAGAATGTGAAACAATGAAGAATTAATGTGTGCATACATATATTATAACTATCTCATCTGATCTGCAAGGATACTACTGATAGATTAATTAATTAAAGATTGAGGAGTACTGGTTTGGATACTTTGCTAAATTTAAGTCTTGTGGTATCCTCCAGGACTTCACAGATTTGGCCCTTAGTAGCTAGTTGGAATTAAAGAAGGGTTCTTATCTCTGGTGTCATTAAGCTTAGAGGAAGTTGGGAAACAAAATGGATAAATAATGAGTCCAGTTCCCTTGTTTTCTTTTCTCTTTCCTTCTCTTCTCTCCACTTTGTTTAGAGTTCTTTTGATCTGATCCCTTATAGGTGGTGCAGACTGGCAACAGTTAGACTCTGGGCTCCAGAAGGAGATTCTGACCATTTGGCCTCACCTTTCTCAGAAGATGCTAGATCTATTGGTACCCATGCCAAAAAGTAAGTTATTGTTTAGGAATTAGGGCTATCAAGTGGCATTCAGAAGATAAAAGAAGCAAGACTCATCTGATTTTTAACAAAGAGAAGGAATTTAATATAAGCAAATTCCTCTTGCTAATCCACATTATTTAAACTTTAAGCCTACTTTAAAAAGCAGGAAAAAGCAGGAAAAAAAATACATGAAATTACAAATGCATCCACATGTAAATAATATTCAGACATATCACTCCTTTCACAACTTAGCTTTAACTACCAATAGCCTACCAACATTATAAAGATTATTCTGATATTGGTATCAACTATTAATCTTCTAAAAACATGCTATGCAGACACCGAGGCATCATTCTGTCTATGATCTACAGCTCATCTAAGGGCTATTAGCTCCCTCCAAATTACAGGGTTTGAAAGAGCCAAGCTTATAAACAGGTGTTCTTTTTTGCCCTAAAGATGTGCAAGATTGTATATCCCTGATTCCAGTTCTTTCAGCAGAGTAAAGGGTTCTATTTTGGTTAACATGGTTACATCTTTTACTTCCAGCTACAGACCTGACAGTTGGGAAAATCTATGCAGCCATGATGATAATGGACTACTATAAGCAGAGCAAAGCTAAAAAGCAAAGACAGCAGCTGGAAGAACAGGTATGGTTCTGCCAGAAGAAAAATATAAGTGATCTTGTTTCATTGTGGGTTAAAATCCAGCCATTCAGATTTTCTGGCAATTAGATTTGTATGAAGAGCACTAATAGAGGTGCGGTAGTTTATCTGCATAAGAATTAACATGTAATCTATGGTGCATGTAATACACTAAGGGTGATTTCCAAGAATATATAAAATTCTGCTGCAGTTTCTGTAGGGCTGCCAATAAGAATCATTGTAGCAAGATAGAAGAGGATGCATATTTTTGGTAAAAAGGAAAATGCAATGGCAGGATTCTTGATCTGACTGTTCTTTTTTCCCACATTTTTATGCATTCAAGGAGTTCTTTTTATAGGAGTCTGTACAATATGTGTATGCTTAACTTCCCTGAGACCCCTTGCATACCATCAGCTGTGGACTCCCTTAGCTTCCTAGAGTATTTGTTTGTTGCTACTATGCAAATAACTCTCCCTTCCCTTCATTGAGATGGCCAGCACTTGCTTACAGGTCACAGTAGGGAAGCAATATATTGGAACTTCATCCCTTCATTATTTTTCCCCTCACCAGCAATGCTGGTGAGCTGAAAAGTAGACAAGCAAACCAACAGCAGACCGCTGTCCATACAAACCCATTCCAGCAAGAAACAGCCATGCAAAACAGCAGGAAGGCAACAGGGAAAGATGATAAAGTACCACAGAGCTTCAGTCCAGGAGGGATGATAAAACTTCAGGAGCTGAGAAGGTGGAAATTTCCAGCCGTGGGGCCACCAGGGAGTTCTAAAGAAAATGCTAAAAATCTGGTTTTGCATTGTTTCTTCTGGAGGAATGGCATAGGTCTCAGAACAGCACAGCCCTTGCATGTGGAAGGACTCGAAACATGGATTATGTTAAAATTACAGCACTTATGCAAAACAGTTCTTTGAATGTAGAGAAAAGTGGTAGAAAGATGTGGGGAAAGTGGAGGATGAAGCTATGCTATGTAATAAATTTTCATAAGGAAAGTAATTGAAGTGATTTGTATTTGCTAACCCAGCAGTGTCTCATTTAGCTTACATAAAATTACTGGCACTTTCAGTATTATTTTCCCCTTCCTTGGGAGTAGATTTTCCAAACCTATTGCCCTCTAATCCTCATCACATCTAGCCATTATAGGCATTGAATACGATGGAAGTTTTAATTCCGTATGTTCATTATGTCATTATTTTACCTAATTGAAACTGCTGTCATTTTCTCTTTTTTTAACTCAGAAAAATGCCCCAATGTTCCAGCGCATGGAGCCTTCATCTCTTCCTCAGGAGATCATTTCCAATGCCAAAGCTTTGCCTTACCTTCAGCAAGACACTATTTCAGGACTGTAAGTGCAGATGTTTGAGTAAACAATACCACCTTGGCTTTCGTGTTTGTAATCCTAGGGCAAATTCCTTTTTTCACTGAATCTTACTCAAGATACAAAGCTATAGTGGTAGGGAATCTAATCTAAGAGAGATATTACAAATAAACCCAAAGATCTTGATAATAAACTATTAAATATGAACTATGATGGAATAGAAGGTAATTGTGCAGGTTAACAGCACATTTTCAACTACTGAGATTGCAATAAAAATGCAGAACTCAAAACTTAGTCTGAACAATAAAGGTAGAATGAGAGGAGGAGAATAATCAGGAAGTCACATTGCTTTTTGATTCTTATCCATTCCTCCATTAAAACTTTCACAGTCTTGGTCTCTATTAAAGCATACTTCTCTCTCTGACTGGGTTCGTGGAACATGTTACCCTTTGTTTACTTTGTGCTATGTAGATATCATTCAGTAAATGTTCTGGTAAAGATTATATGCACCTCTGGAAAGATTTCCTATGTTTCAGCCATTTCTGAGGCAATTTTGATAAGCAACAGTTCACCTTAACAAGCATTACATTGACTTTTGATAAGCAACAGTTCACCTTAATAAGCATTACATTGACTTGTTTCTAAATTATATTTAGAAACAAAAACATTAATGCTTTTGATTCAAACAGTATTTTGGCAGAGCCATCCCCTTGTTTTTTAACACAATCTCTAACCTATCTTACTATCTCACTACTGTACTTCTTGACAAAACTAAGTTACAAACCTATAAGCATTTCTTATTTCCATCATCCAGAATTAAAAATGTGAATATACTGTCAATGGAGTATAATGTGTAATTTTGACTGGTTTCAGGGTTTTTTTACTTTTATTATATGATAATGTCAACAATACAAGATAGTAGTTGTTTGGTTCTTTTCATTGTAAAATAATAATAATAATAACAATAATAATAACAATAATAATAATTGCACAGTGAGATGTTCAGACTGGATTTGGCATTTTTGTCTACCTATCGAGTCCTTACCAAGTACCTGAGATAGGCAGATGTGGATGTTTGATGGTATTACAGATATTGTCTCAGGATGTTGTTGTTGTTGTGGTTGGTCACACAGTCAGCCAGATGTTTAGATTGGATTTGGCATTTTTATCCATCTATCAAGTCCTTCCCAAGGACCTGGAATAAGTAGATATTTGGTTGTGTTAAAGATATTATTACAGGATGTAAGTTGTTCCAGTTAAAACTGCCATTTGCAATTGATTGATAGTGATTTTGTCAGTGTCGATTGTGTTCAACTGGTGCTTTAGATGTTTTGGGACTGCACCCTTAGGAGCCTATCACTATTGGTACTATTTTTGCTTTGTTTCGTCAGAGTTGTTCTACTTCTATTTACAAGTTTTTGTATTCTGTGATTTTCTCTAGTTCTTTCTCTTCTATTCTGCTTTCTCCAGGTTTTGCAATGTCCACTATCCAGATTTTTTGTCATTCTTATCAACAATTGTTAAGTCTGGGATGTTATATGGCAAGGTGCTTGAATTCTAAAGTCCCAGAGCATTTTAGCTTGTGTTTTATTAGTTTGACTATTTTGTGGCCTTACCAATTCTCACTTACAGGCAAATGGTATTTCTTGCAGATCTTTCAATACACCATTGTTGCTACTTTATTATGCCTTTGTTTATAGTCATGTCTGCCGTCTTCTTGCAGCAATTAACTAGGTGCTTTCTGTTGCTGTCTTCTCAATGCTGTCTTTGTATGTATTTGTTCTTAAGGTTTGGTCTTACGCAACCAGAATTAGCCCCTCTATCTCTTTTTTCAACTTTCCTACTCCTAGCCCACAAGTCGGCAACCTGCGGCTCCGGAGTCACATGCGGCTCTTTGAGCCTGGCTCCCAGCTTCCTCTGCCTTTGCAAAGAGAGACAGAGACAGAGAAAGGCAATTACACTTTCCTGCTTCTCTCAGTCTCTCTCTCTCTCTCTCTCTCTCTCTCTCTCTCTCTCTCTCTCTCTCTCTCTCTGTGTGTGTGTGTTTGTGTTTTTGTGTGTGCGTGTGTGTGTGTTTGTGTTTTTGTGTGCGTGTGTGTGTGCGTGTGTGTGTGTGTGTGTGTGTGTGTAAAACAGAGTGCACTCACAGCGTTCTCCGAGGAGCTGAAAAGCTTACTGGGCGGAGCTCCTCCCTTTGCTGCGTCTCTGCAGGAAGCAGGAAGCAGGAAGGGCAGGAGAGAGCTAGCTAGCCCAGCTAGGCTGACTCAGGAATTCTGGGAGTTGAAGTCCATGAGTCATAAAAGAGACGAGGTTGCTTACCTCTGAGCTTGTTAGACAATAGCTTGAAGCTTGCCAGGTGAGCAGCAGATAGGAGGGGGGGAGAAAGAGAGAGAGAGAAAGAGAGAGGGGGGAGGGGGAGAGGGGGGGGGAAAGAGAGAGAGAAAGAAAGAGAGTGGGGGAAGAGGAGTGGCAGACCAAGGGCAGATAGAGAGGGAGAGAGACAGAGAGAGAGAGAGACCCTTTTGACATCTAAAATGAAGATAACACTGCATATATCCATTTTTTACCTGTGTGTGTATGTAATTTTATTCTCTTAAAGCATTCTCTTGGTGATCATTGTTTTAATAGTATGGATATTCCCAAGAGTCATATTTTTACACACACACACACCTATAATAAAGGTAAAAAAGGATATATGCAGTGTTATCTTCATTTTAGATATCAAAAGGGTTTTGCGGCTCCCGGTGTTTTGTTTTTGGTGGGAAACGGGTCCAAGTGGCTCTTTGAGTGTTTTGGGTTGCCTACCCCTGTCCTAGCCATTTGCCAGGTCTTGTTATTATATATGTCTTCTATTGTTTTAATGTTCTGGTCATGTAATGCTTTGCCTTACCATATCTATTTTTCTAATCTTCATTTTGTCTTTCTTGTAGGGCAGTTTGGTCTCTCCAGTACTCAGTATGGTATACTGGTATAATAGCTTCAGTGCATCTTCTTTACTATCCTTCAGATATTCTTCCAATGTCCTTTTTTAAATTTCCTCAACTTCTAGTGCACTCGCAACATCTCACACCCACCTATTTTCCTTGGTAAATAGAATCTGTCATTGCATGGATGAAGGGAATGATTCATTGTCATTATTTTTCTGGTTTTCCTATCAAGGGCTTTTAATTCTGCTTGAGTCTAGTCCATTATTCCAGGTATGTATCTAATAACTGGAATTGTCAAAATGTGAATTGCCTTAATGGTGAGTTTGGACTTCAAGATCTTCATCAATCTCATGATCTATTTACTTCTAACCTTCTTCTTGTCTCTAGTGCTTTTGATGTCAGCTTGAAAGATCCCCAAGTATTTGTAGTGATTGTCTTTCAAACTCTTGCTGCTATTTCCATAGAGTATTTTGATTCCTTCAGATTTCACTATTTTTCCCTTGTTAAGGATCACATTTGTCCAGTCCAAACTCTATTATAATATCTTGGTTTTTTATATATGGACAGTATTGAGCAGTGATTCTATTTCAGATGTTGTTTTTCCACTCAGATCATTCACGTGAAGGAGGTGAGATAGCCTGGCAGAAATTTTTGATATTTGATAGTCATGGCCTGATTTGTTCAATATTGTTGACAGAAGAATCAGTGTAATGACAAACAGCAATGGTGAGAGTGAGTCTCCTTGAAAGATTCCTCTGTTGATATTAACCTCTTCCAGAGCATCACCATTAACCAGCAACTGTGTCTTCTATTGTATCACTGATCTTTCATGAAGCTTCTGATGTTTCTACTGATTCCTGTTATTTCTAGACACTTGATTATCCAATCATGTGGCAAGGAGTTGAATACCTTCTTTTAAACAATACAAGTCACAATCAGTTTGATCTTCTTTCTCTTGCAGTTTTTTAAAATCTTATTCTCAGGTAGTTTCCTTTCTGCTAAGGTGGAAAGAACTTTTTTTTCGGCTAGATGCTGTTGGACTGTATCAGCTACCACAGTAGCTAGCAATTTGAAAGTTGTTGGTAAGCAGGTAATTTGCCTATAGTTGCCTGGTGCTTTCTCTTTTGTTGGATCTTTCATTATTAGGTAAGTTTTGTCAGATGTTAACCAATTTCCAATTTCACCTCCTTGCTGACTGTTCTTGTCATTGAGTGGCTGTAGACCAGACAGGTATTTTAACAAAAAAATATACAGTTAATCTTCACCTAGTGCTGATCAGTTCTTGATCTTCCTTGCAGTTTCTTCACCATTTCTGCCGTTACTACAAGTTCTTTCATTTCGACTTTTTTTTATTCTTATTCACCTCTTTTATACAAGCTGCATTATTGTTGTAATTCTTATTCCATAGCAATGCCCAGAACTCCACTGTTTCTTCTTCATCAAGTGTTAACTAGTTTTCTGCATTCTCTCCATTGATCGATTGGTAGAACGTTTCTGGTTTGACTGATATTGGAAATTCTGCATACTGTCTGCTGAACTTACAAATCTATCTGCGGGTGTAAGGACCCACCCCACTTTGCATCTTAAGAAGACAGAACTCTTGGAATAATTCTTCCAACAGGAATCCTTTATTAAGAAGAAGTGGTTGCAGGCATGCTAGACAGGACTTGGGGTCCAAGCTCTCCCATTCAAGGTTTTAAGGGGTTCCCCAGCAGTCCCACCCACTCACCCCCCCTTCCAGTGATAGTTTCAGGCATCACAATTCCACCCCCTTGCTCCTTTCTTTCGTCTGTATGGAGACTTCAGATAACTTCATGAAAGGTAAATAGCTCTCTTTTGTCATGGTAAGGTTCTTTGATGCTATTTACATTCAAAGTCTCTCTTTGATGTTGCAATAAACACATTCAGCTCCTTAGAAGTCTACTGAAGGAAGTGAGGGCCATAAAGCCCCTTTGTTCTCCCCCTTCTCTCCCTCTGATGGCAGAATCCAGAGAAGGCAGAATTGGGAGTTTCTATATTTGATAATTAAAGATGAAATATAATTGGATTCTGACATCCGGCCCCTCTTACCAATAAGAGAGATCCACCTGCAAGAAAACA